GTGTGTGTGTGTGTGTGTGTGTGTGGTGGGAGGTGAATTCATAAGGCACTGTGGCCAATAACTTTGTTGTGTAGCCATGCAAGGATGTGTCTGCCCCCCAACTTCTAATTAGCAGATGAGAATGAGCAAGAGCATACTCTTGACCACAAAGCTGTTTTGCCTTTTGTTTCTGACTACAGCATCAAGGAAGAGACATTCCTTAAGCCTCTCTACCCTACCACATCCTCCCAATTTGCTGTGCTCTTGCTACAATCAGCTTCCTGCAGTTATACATTTTGTACAGTTCTAAAGTCAAGTCTTGTTCCTTGGGAGAGAAAGAAACGTATTTATTGCCATGTGTCTTTAGACAAACACAAAAGAAAGCCTGACGGGTTTCTTGGTATACACCTCCTGTGCACTGGCATGAGTTGTATGTAAAAAAACAAACAAACAAACAAACCCAAAAAGTTCTATGTAAAATAAATATGAAATCTTCTCTAGGATTCTTGTGCCTTTTTCTGTCTTGCATTGAAAGATCCAATGAGAGCAAAGAGCATCAAAAGACTTTGCTTGTGGCATCAGCATATTTCCTTTATCTTTTAACTATATCCCATACCTTACAGAACACCCTAAAGTAACAACCAGTGCCTCTAGCCCTCAACTGGTTCCTACCATCTGACCAAGGCTCACAACCTCGAGACAATAATGCTGATGGCGTGCGCAGTGCTGCTCACCTGTGTAGTTTAGTAAAGTGGTAGAACCTTCGCCTGCCCTTCTAGCTTCTACCAAAAATAGGCTTCCAGTAAAAATTAGCTCCAAAGGGTTTAGAGATAAAATGACCATATAGACAGTATCTCCTTCAACCAGTCCCCCCAGTAAGAGGAGACTGGCTAGAGCAGTTGTTCCAAAAGACATGAGATGCTGAAGTGTGCTGAAAGGAAGTGCCTTTGGCACTACGAATCCTTTTCGGGTATCCCTGGCTCAGGCTGGAACGGCCGTAGTTCAGCAGTGGAAGTTCGTAAAGCAGGATCCATCTGGGTCTCTGATTGCGGCACACAAGCAAGCCAAGCTGCTCTTTGCCTTGTGTGTGTGCACTAACACCAGCATGAACTGATGGTTGCAAGCACACTTGTATGTTTGCTTCTACTTCATACATGGGATTCTGAATGCTATTTGACAAGTGGTGGACTTAATTCTACTCGTAAGTGGCGATGCCGAGGACCTGGTGCAAGATGCGCTGTCGAACGAACTGGAAAGAGTGGCCACAATGCTATCAAATTTAATTGATATGTGAGTGGGAAATTGTTGAGGAAATCCAATGTGGTCACACTTGATTTCAAAAGCAGAAACTTCTCTAAAACGGAGTAACGGGTTTTTAAAAGGGATCCAAGAGGAAATTACAGGCCAATTAGCTTAACATCTGTTCCAGGTAAATTAGTGCAAAGCAACATTTAAGACAAGCATACAGAAGGATTTAGATGTCTAGCAGGATACAGAGTCTCGGTGGAAAAGAATTAACACGAACCTGTTAATCCTAATTTTTGTCTCACCAACTTTTTAGGGTTCTCTGAGGGTAACAGACTTACGGACAGGGGTAATCTGGTAGACACTGTTTACTTGGACTCTCAAATGGGATTTGATAAAATCCATCACCAAAGACTCGTGAACAAACTTAGCAATCACAGAGTAAGAGAAGAGTCCACCTTATGGATCATTAACTGGTTAAGGAACAGAACACAGAGACTATGTATATATTGTCAGTTGCAATAATGGAAGGAATTAAGCAATAAAGTCTCACAGTAACCTTTATTGTGATTAGTGCTTTTTAACATGTTCAGTAATGATCTGGAATAAAGATTAAATTGTGAGGTGCCCAGATTTGCTGATGAAACTAAAGTATTTAATTAAATCAAAGGACCATGCGAAACTGAAAGAAGGGGCATCAAAAATGGCATGTGCGGTTGAGTATAAGCAAGTTAAACTAGGGCACTTTGGGGCACTCCCCCCCAACTTCACATGTACAAAGTTTGGATCTCAATGTTGGGACAGTGATGATGTCCAACAAAGAGAGCTTGGAGTTGTGGTGGACAGTTTGAGGAAAATGTCAACCCACTGTGCAGCTGCTGTGAAAAAGGCAAATTCTGGCAAGAGATCCTGCATCATGGGATATTTCTTCAGCATTATAATCTGTATAGGTTCCTCCCAGCAATCTCTGGGGAGGAATAAAACTGCAGAAAACACCTACAGACGATCTCCCTCTTTCTTCTCTGGAGACAGCAGACAGTCCAGCTCCACGCTAGACATCATCTCAAAAAGTAGGTACTTCTGTTTTGCTTTTACAGATTATGCATAAAAGAGGCTCTTCTATGAATGCCTAATACAAGATCCGTTTAAGTCTTGTAAGCCTACCTTGTACACCAGTTTGATCTCCACCAACCAGAGTCTACATTTCTGAAGCGAAACCATCGCCCAGGACATGGTGCATTTATACATGGGATAAAATAGGAATATCTGTTGCACAGATTTCTCCCTTTGTATCTGAATGAAAGTCATGTCAATTTGTACATAACACACCTACAAAAGCAGACACAGGGCTGAAGGATCAAGTCAATAAAACTTCTCCCGTAGCTCTCTCAGCACTGTAATCCTGGGAAAGAGAGAGAGAGTGGCTTGCTGATCTCTGTAAGGTATCCAGTCCCACAAACCAAGAAAAACCAGGCTTCCTTTTTAGGGAATTTCCAACTGCAGCAGCCTCTGATGCTCACGTTTCACGCATGCTGGGCCAGGGAGCACTCTGAAGCGGTGGGGCTGGGCTCTTCATATACACCATGTTGGCTTTATATATTTTAATCATTTTAACATTTAATGCTTCTCAATTAAAGTGATTTCCTGGAGTAGATGCCAAGCTTAGCTTGAATACGCATTAACCATTTTCAGTATCGGTAGTTAAAGGCACTGGAGGATTTAAACAGCAATCCAGGGGGCTGTTGGGGAAAAGGTTTGGCTGAATAAAGCAGATTATAAACAATAATATATGCCTTCACATTTTTCCTTTTTTTGGAAGGGCTCCAACCTCACAAACAGTCCTAAAGTGCTATAAACATATCCGGGCCTAAGCTCCAAGCTCTGCAAATGTTCTTTGTTAAAGCTCTGGGCCATGGGTGCTTGCTACCTTGCATCTGGGTGTGCACCAAGTACGTGTTATTCTGAGAGCACTTTTTAGTACACAAGATCTCCATCAGAAAGAACTTCCCTGCTACGTATTAAATTGCCAACACAGATACCTTTCGACACAACAGAATTAATACATCCTGGCTTCTAGCAAGGTGGCTGTTGAACGCCAAAGGAACATAGATAGGTGAACGATTTGTTCTTTCATTTTTGCCAATTTATCCACAGCATAAGTCCAAAAGTAGTGACTGATTTCAAGAGCTCTCTGCTGAGAGAGTAGCTGCCAACCATGCAGCAATGATCCTGCATTTTATATCCGTCCCAAGCCACCATATTCCAGGAGGCAGCAGACACAAGGGGCCTATTCACATGATCACGAGTGGTGCTACTTTTTTCATCACGTGCACCACCTGCATGCCAGGGGAACCTGCATAATCACCCGATATTGCAGCTTGCCAGGTCATGTGAACCTGACATGAATAGCTTATCACCATAGTTAACGAGCCACCTCAGAACCCTACAGCAGGTAACCAAACCAGGAAGGCACCCTTGGGGGGTGCGCACAACTGTGCAAGCTATGCCTGCAAACGTAATTATGCAAATCACCCCAAAAACCCACTGTGGCTTATTCCTGCACCCCCAACCCTGTCATCATGCGGACCTGGTCCTCATAGTTTCTGGATGGCTTGTTAAGCATGGCAAAAAACCACCTTCGACACATGAGCATATGGCAACCCACCACCACCAGGGTATGAAAATACCCCCGACATGCTTGGAGGGGAGCATGCAAATCTGGTCACTACTTCAGCTGCGCAATGATACCAGCAGATCCATATATGGCTGCAGTGTTCATGGGCAGATAAACAGTCCAAACAGTTTTGTGAGATGCTCGGTGCTGGCCACAGACTGCACTGCTCCCAAAGCGGCTGTCCACATCTGATGCCGAAGTGTGGGCCTGCCACCCTTATCTATAGGCATCCTTTAATCAATTGTGCCACCCTGGAAACAAACCAGGCAGGTGACCAGAATATTTCAGGCTCTGGCTGGTGGGCATGGTGGGGGAATCCCTGGCATCCCAGAAGGAAAGTGGGCTTGTCTGGCTGGCTGTGCACCGGCAAGTCTGACGACAGCAAGGGAGGCGCCAGTGGAGAACAAAGCGCAAGCCACTTTTCTGGAAGGCTGCTGTGAAGACATGTGACGGGCTCAGGTGGTTACCTCTGATGATTTTTTATCTTGTTTTCTAGAAATATCCCCTGGTTTTCAAAGTCTTGTGAGTGACTACTGTAAACCGCTTTAGGTGCCACCAGTTTCAAGTGTTAAACATACTTTGCATAAAAATGACAAGATGGCAAGAAAGGACACATTTCCTGTGATTTTTTTTACAGTACAGCAGAAGATGGCATCACTAAATAGTCTGTAAGCATATTGGAGGCAGTGAAATCTATGCAATGTTATTTTTTTCAGACACGGATGGCTATTGAAAAAATGCGATGCACCTACTTTGTGTTCCAGAGAAACTTCCCTTTCTCCTGCTTTTCTCTCTGAAGACACGACTGATTCCAAAGGGATAAATCCTCAAGTTGTGATGACAGTCCAAAATACTGTGAATGCTGAGCTGTAATCAAAAATGCTTTCCCCTCCCCATTTGTGGGTTTGCAGCCAAAAATCCTTATTTACATACTTCCTCTCAAAGATGCTCCACAGGTTTTTAATCAGGTAAACTGGTCTCTTTCCATCCTTTCAGAAACAGAAAACTAGTGGAACTTCCCAAAGTTCAACACAAAATCACACTGCTGTTTGTGCAACTAGTCTGATTTCATGCTAGAAGAGGAAAAGGAATAATTCAGAACTATTCTTTGATGTATTTTATCGTGCAAGACAGTATTTTGCAACAGAGACAGAGGGGACACACACAAAGGACACTCCCATCAGTTCTCATAGTCGATTGGTTAACACACCAACAGCTCAGCCTCCCTGTTTGGCCATTTTGATCTTCAAGAGCCAACAGGAACGCTCTCCATTCTTGCATCTTGGAAAACTCCACTGCTTCCATTGCCCAACTGAAGAAGTGACAATAGGGACAAAGTATATACTCTTTTACTAATACATTATCGTTGATAGAGAAAGGCGGTCTCTTCCCTTCTATCAGCTATGGTTTCCTCTCTTACTAGATACTTGCAAAAGAGCAGCTAGTTTTTATAACCCAGTCCTAGGTAAACTTGGGCAAACAAGTCCCACAGAGCTTACTCTTGAGTCAGCACATCCAGGACCAAAGCCTACGTTTCTTTCCTCGGTCCCTTCCGTCCTGATAAAACCCCAAATGAACATGCTGTACCAGGTCTACATAACGTGCAACCCACCAAACTGAACGCATCTCACTATTCATGTTTCGCTGGCTGTCAGAAGCGCCATAAAGCTATTTTGGATGGCCCCAGTGGTACAAAAACGGGGCTGGCAAGTCACAGCCTACCTGTGGAGATGTTTTAGCTGGTGGGTGACAAGATATGCTGGTCTGTGCTCACCTGACTGCCTTACCTTCTCCCAGAAATGTATCTCCACACTAAGCCCCTTCACTCAACAGGTCCTGTTCTCCATGTATCATGCATACTGATGATGTGGGAGAAGGATAATTTTATTGCCGTGTTGTTCGAGCCGAGAGCGCTGCGCTGGGTCTGCCTGCACCTTCCTTGGCCTTCGGGTTATGCTTTGCCAGCTGTGTGTTCCTGCAGCATGGAGGTGATTACTCTACAGTCCGTCACCTCCTCAGGCAGGTACCCCTCTGTGTCCCGAAGAGTGGGGTCAGCTCCAGATTTCAGCAGCAGTTCCACAATGTCGGAAAACTCACAGGTGGAAGCTAGAGGGGAAAATGGCAGAGTGATTACGTTACGATCAAGTGATTACGCCACATGGGACAAGTGACATCTTTTGGAATTTCAGCCTGACAGCCAAGCAGGGCAAGGAAGCTGGAAGAGCTGAAGAGAATTTTGTTCAAGACTGATATTCCCCCTTCCACTGACATGCTACGAACCACCATTTTGGTTGTGGCAGCATTTAATAAAGGCTGATTGCTTGGGTCTTGATTTATTACTAGAGAGGTAAAGAACAGAAAGTTCTGAATCTTAGAACAAGATAAAAGCCAACTAGCAGAGCTGAGCTGAGCCTTCAAGAACATTGCTGCATCCCTGCTATTAACTAAAGATATTACAGCAAAATTACCTCAGAGCTAGTCAGGAAAGCATAGCTTCCCGAAACGAAAGAGGAGGATGGAAGAAATGCAAGATATTAAATTTAAATCATAACCTTTCAAAGAAAACATGAGACCCTGTAACCTTGACTTTGGCATTTCCTGACTTTTGAGTAATCTTAAAAAATGGAATTATTTTTCCAGATCATGAACACAAGTTCCTTGGGTTCGCTCCTGTAAAAAGACAAATTGTAGAAAGACATTTCAGGATGTAATGTATTTCAAGGGAGGGCAAGAACACTCTGCCCTGCACCAGAAGCCAGATCCTCCTTAGGCTAAAGGAGCAGGACTCCCCGCCCCCGCCGCCCCCAAGACAAAGCTATTGCTACGAAACAGAAGCTTCTGATCCAATGCAGCCCCCACTATTAACTCACAACACTGAGGGAACAACCTAAGCAATAGCGGCTGGGAATTCAAGACCTTCCCAAAGCCCTAGCAGAGTGTGTAGAACTGCTGTAATGTTAACCTGAAGTACTTTCAAGTTGTTTGCATATATGCAGATTTCTTCACAACTGCCATAGTCCTAGCTATAGTCGGAGCTCCTAATTTTATGGATGATGCATTCGTAAAGGTTCATGGAACCAAAGGGATTCCAGAACTTGGGCAGGGATGTGGGGGACAGGTGCCGTCACCTGCCATTAGCAACTATCAATAGCTCACGTAATGCTCTTCTTCCATCAGTTTGTTGCCTATCCGTATCTCCTTCTGGTTGCTCCCTGCCAGCTATCACTAAGATGGGCTTCCTCAGAGATCATTTTTTGGGGTCCCAGACTGCAGCAAAACAAAGGATGGGGAATGGGACTTTCCTTCTGTGAACTTCTTGAAGTTAGCCTGTCTTTGAATTCAGACCACTGAAATTACTTTCCATGCAATCTCTCCCTCCTAACAATACTGCAATGGTCCGAGGAGGAGTAATACATACTGAACCGTGCCATGCAGGACCTGGTTCTTACTGGATCTTTTATGGAAATTCAGACATGAACATTACTACTAATTTATTTTCACAAGGAACTGTAGCTCCAACTGCACTTTTCCTGTAGAGGTGATTAATATGATGCTATTCTCTCTCTTCTTAAAATAGCAATGCAGTAAGTACTTTGCTAAAGAAGGTGATGAGAGGCAGAAATAATATCACAGACCAGAATTTGCCTTATTGGCAGTACATAGTATAAGTTAACTCAAGCCAAATAATATAGAATTTCTGTGGTCCCGAAGTTACCTTCAAGAAAGACAGAAAGACCTGAACATGGGGGCTGAATTCAAATATCAGATATCACAACAAGCATGCTTTCCACGGTGAGTGGTTTTCTACCTGAATATGCCAGAAAATTAAGTGGTTTCTATGCCAGCACGGCTTCCACCCTCCTTGCTCAGTCCTCCCACTGCCCCCTGTATCTCATTAGCCACCATGCCTTAAATTCGATCCCATGCAGTGATGGATGGTTAGAGCAGCTCTTGCAGCAGCTGCCACTCTTTCCCGGGGACTTTACGGTTGCTGCACATCAGGACTGTGGAAACCACAATGCTGGGTTCAGACAATCAGAAACATGGTGAAGCATGGAAATCATAGGACAGGCCTGTTTATCATGCTTTCTAAAAATCAAAAACACCATGCTGAAAAGCCACAACAGGGTTTGGATGACACAACAGACCACCCTGTGCAAGGAAGCACAATGGCTCGTGTTGTGCGAGGCTGGGCATTATGTTGTGTCACTGACAGGAATGATCCCATCCCACATCCCCTCAACATCTGCTCTGGTGGGAAACTCTCCAATTCAGATTTTTAGGCGGCACCACGGGCTGCAGCGGGGATGAGAACGGGAACCCTAGATTATTGTACTGCAGCTCTCCTTCACGCTTCATAGAATTATAAATCTAACTGGAAAAGTGTAAAGTCACATGCTGCTCTCCCTCATTATGACCTGACAAGAAACCTTCATTAAGCAATACAGTGGACATTTTAGGGGCTCCAGGAGCTTTGAAGTGTGAAAACAGGGTTGTTCACATTTTACCTCCCTGCACCAATTCCTCATCTGAAAACTAGGCCAATGATCTATGTTTCAATGATCCACAAAGCCAATAAAGAATGGAACCACATTTATTTGCGGTAAAGCATGGTGTTACTATTCTTCCTTATTTTATTTGAAGGGGAGAGCAGTGCAATTCAATGCAATTCTTGTACCAGAGACCTGCAGTGTACAGCAGAAATTAGAAGTCAGCAGGAGTGACTGGAGACGTTCTGTGGAAAAGCAGGACTTGGAGAACAGTACAGGGTGACCCTCCTGAGACCCGCACTGCAGGGAGCTTCCACTGCTTGGCTACCAATACTCAGGTATGGAAAGTCATGCAAGAAGCATCTCAAATAGTGCTTTCTTACCATCTGCCTGCCAAGTAAGATTTCAGATTGTTTCTGTGCCATGGTATTGTTTGTTTGTTTGTTTGAGATTATTTGAAATGTTATGGTGGGCATAGTTTTCATTTACCTGGTCTTCTTACTTCATGTGGATTTTCAATTCCAGGAAAACAAGATTAATGCTTTCTTTATTTAGAATTTTTATATGCCGTCCCATCGCATAGCCTCAGGACGGCTTACATAAAAGCTTCTTTTAACTTTAACTGTTTTTAAATAGTTAGGAAAATCACAAAATATTTCTATAACTGAGTCAATTCAAATAATTCTCTCTTAATGCAGGCTATCACAAGCCCCAAGTATACCACGGGGGTTAAACCTTATGAGACAGCACACTTCAAGCAAACAGTCCATCTCCACTATGGTGATTTATATAATGTACAACAGCCAATAAATTATCCATTGTAGGAACAGGGCAACAATTTTAAAAAGTGGCTAAAACTTGCTTATTGCTGCCTTCAGGTCTTTGTAACCATGTTACAAATTATGTCCAGCAACACTAAATCATGCTTCATTCCCATTCCATTGTTAGCCTACATGAGGGGAAACAAAACAAGTATGGTTTAAGTTTTATTTCCAAAACATAAGCAAAAGCTGTGCACACAGTATCTTCCCTCTTTCCAGTGATTACTAGAGGAAAGGTTGTTTCAGAGTTCACATGCAGATCCACTATATTTTCAGACTGATTCAGGGTAGCAGCGGAACTACCCTTGCTTGAAGATCACTGCCTTCAGCAATATCCCCTTTTTAACCTTTCTCTCCCTCTGCCTTTCCCCTCGCCATACTACCTATATAGGTAAAAAAATATAATGGAACCAGGGCTAACGCAGCCTGAATGCAATAGCACATGTACTGCGCATAGTTTGGATGCATCAGATGCATCAGATGTGGCCAAAAGATGTGCCCTAAAGTACATCCGCCACTGAAATTTCCAGGGGGATCTCTACCTTCAAGAAGCCTCTCTGCTGAACACTAATTACTGTTTTTAATTATATTTCAGATCAACACATTAGTGTACTTCTTTCTGTAATTAGGTGTAGTAATTAGAAAGTATCTTGAATGTTTTGTTGCCTTCCTCAGCTGGCACAAGGGGGAGAGGAAGCACAAGTTTAATTAAAACAGGACACTGGTGTGGATGGAGATTATTCAAAAGAACCTTTTTAGCATTTTAGGAGTGGCCTTATAGTAAGCAAGACTATTTGTCTCTCTAGCCTGGCACTGTCAGCCAAGGCTGGTGACGGGTCTCAAACCAGCTCTGCAGGGTCTCGCAGGCCAGTCCTGTGCCTTGGATTGTGCCCCATCGTCCTTGTGCGTCGATCTGGATGCAGCTTCCCTGTTCCAAGAGCACTTCTTGAGCACCAAGACAATCAAAACCAGGTAGACCTCTTTGGCGATGAACGAAGGAATGCACATTGCACTTGTGTGATATGTGCAGAGAATCAGCTAATTGGCACAAATTGGCAGATTCTTCATGAATTGTGCAAGCACTCTGCAGTTTGTGGGTGCTTCTTTGCACAAATTTCATCAGAAGTTAAAAAATGGACAAACAGTCCTCCATCTTAGAGACAGCAGTCCACAAGCTGGCTTGACTTGCACCACCCCAAGCTACTGCCAGTGTAAGGTTAATTAACTGGAATTCAGGATGTTGAATCATGAAAATCTTTCAGATTTTCACCCTCTATCACATTCCTCATACATCCCATGATTCGGCCATCTATTCTCCCATGGACAGAAGCCATGTTCCTCTGCAAATTCTCCCTGAACGCCTCAGTTTTAGTCTAATACAAATTTAAGTAAAATGACCTAATTCACTGATTTGTGAAAAGAAAATGATTAAATTGTAAAGCATCTTGGAATCACTGTATCAGTGATAAACAGACCTCTAAACTAATAGGAGTCTTTACGACTCACAACATTAATTAAGGTACAGATTATCCCATTAAGGAAGAAATATACAACTTTTAAAAAAGCTCACTTTGAACCTACACATATTTACTTGGAACTGTATCCAATGGGACTTACTCTGAAGAACTGCAAAGCCTTAGTTAATCAGGGAAGGTATTCTTTAAATCAGTAAAGCTGTGAGTTAATAGCACACTTTTTAAAAACTCTTTTGGTCCAGATCACAGCAAAAAAAGGAATGAAAAGGATAAATATTAAACACGTTTTGTTCTAAGTACTAGAAAAACACAATAACTTAGTCCAATGGTTTGTAAAGGAATCTTTACAAAGAATGCCAGCATTTTAAAAAAAAGATTTTACTATTACAATTTTTATGCTGAAACCCACAGGCAGGAATGAATCCAGTCTCTAGCTGTCATTATCTTTCAACAGGAGCTTCCACAGTAAGTCAGCTGGGGCCAGAGACTACTTTATTTGATAGTAGTCTGCTTACATTTACAATAAGGACACTAGAAGTCCTCTCCAAATGGAGAGCATGCTACTAAGGAGGTGCCATGTGGACTGTGGATTTTGCAATTCCAAGGAACAAATCTTAAAGGAGACAATGTGTTGCCACTGCAAGGGAAACCCAGGAGGATATCGGCCTACCCCTAAAGACTGCAGAGTTGTCCCTTGAGATCAGAACAGCTGCTGGATTTATGACACTCCCTGGGAACCTCTATTTGTCAAGTGCCAGCGAGGCAGTCCTGACACAGGCACAGGTGAAGATGAATTTTCATTCAGCACAGTTTGCCTTCATTCAGCACAGTCCATTAATCCTCAGGGTTTTCATGATGGATTTCTCCTTTTATTATTTATTTTCTTGCTGGCATCCCCTCCCACTGCCCTGCCACAGTTGTAAAAAAGCAGCGCAGATGGTGTTTCAACAAGGAAGAGAGAACCCAGGAGAATACAGAACGCCAGCCTACTCTACGGTCATGTGGCTTCAAGTCCAAGGAGAAACGCTGATTTCCTCTGGGAGAGGCCGAGGCAATCATCTGAGCATTCCCTGAAGGGAACAAGTGTGCACGCGTGCAAGGAAGGGGCGGGGGGGGGGGGCTTGACAAGGGAATATAAGGCTAACAGGCTATTCACAAGGGAGACCACACACATCCTGGCCTTTTCAAAGACACAGTGCTAGTGCTGACCACACAGCAACACGGGCACCAGGAACCAGGAGACGGGGTGGGGTGTTTTAGGCAGCCCATTTGAGAGTAACGTACTGGGGAGCTGTCCTTCACTTAACCTCTGAATGGCTCTGACCTGTGTTTAATCAGAATGAACCAGGATTTATAACCCGTCTAAGGATGCAGTTTGACACTTTCTGTAATCATGAGAGCTGCTGAGGCAAGGACAGCTGTCAGGCCAAACGCCCTCATAAAAAGATAGATAAACTCGGGTTCTACTTCACCATCTTTACTCAAAGGGATTTTGTTAACTCCTTGGTTTGTTGTATAGCTGCAGCAAAGACGGAAAAATGCTCACAGAGAAATGGTTTAGCCTACCGTGAAGTCTCTGTTGCAATTAATGACTTTATTATGCAGTTTAAGTAATAAATAAATAAGGATTTTCAGGTAAATGAAGGTTTCAGCAAGCCACAATGACTAACTGAACTAATGACTTCAAGCAATGTTTGACTAGTGCTACTGGAGCTGCACACTTTCAGGCCAAGAAAGTAATGGAGAAAAGATGATGCAGTGACACAAACACTCAATTGAAATGATAAGATCCCAAGCTGATGCTTGTTGATTTACAAATAGGCACCCCCTGTTCGTATTAATGACACTGGACTTTACTGAATGGATAACAAAAATAGATGCACTCAGTGGATATCAAATAATAGAATGTTCGGCTGGGTTCCTGGGATACATTTTTCCATTTAATTATTTTAAGTAGAAACTGAATTCAGTCAAAAAGGCATGGATCAATTAACAACTCTTCTGATGGAAACCATACTCCTGCCTTACTCCTCCATACTTATTGAATTGGGGATGGGAAAATGTGGCACTGTTTTCTCCTTTGGAACATTATTTTGCATACATCTGCATATCTCCTAGCAAGTTCTCAGTTGTGCGGTTCTTTATAAAACCTCACACAAACACAAACAAGCAATATTTGATGAATATTCAGTCAAAAGAACATCACAACTGTTTGAACTATCTAATCTGAGAGTAATTTAGTTTTGAAAAAGGAGAGAAACTCAAGTTCTACTTTAAATGCAACTATGGAAATAAAATGTCATAGCTGTAATTTGCAGGCCGTGGTTATACTCTTTGAGACAGGTACTGCAACAGGATTAAAGGCCTGGGACTCAAAGTTAAGTTATTTCACTGAGAAAGCTTCCTTCAGTCACAACATGACATTGGCCCAGTTACAGACTCTTATCCCAACCTACCTCACAGGGTTGTTGTTGTGAGTATAAGACTGAGAGGAGGAAATGAATTATGTAAGCTGCCTTGGGGTCCTTGGAAGGAAAAAAAGGCAGGGTATAAATACAATAAATAGATAGATAGCCACATTTTCCTGATTTGATTTGAACATTATATACAGTTCCTAAGGAGCCCTTTGTTTCTGCTACCACTTGGGTATCTTAGGTATTCTTAATTTGGTCTGCATGGTCATGCAGGTTGCTAGATACATATGCTTCTGTTCACATAGTGCTACTTACCATAATGCAGTGCTGTTTGGCCTTCATCATCCTGGAAAAAGAGGAGAACAAAATTTAGTGGTGTCCATGCACACACACACATTAAAAGGCATATACTGTATTGCCTATTTTTCTGGCTGCAGGGAGCATAGCTAACTGGAAGTGCTATTTTAAAGCCCTAAAAAGCCTGGAAACCAAGTGCCCTATTGACTGAGGCCTTCCACACAAAGCTGCCTGTGGCAAACTCCATGCCAGACCCAATTAGGAATGGAGTAGAAAAGAGAACTCAGGTATGACTGCACTTGGAATATTGTGTTTAGTTCTGGCTGCTGCAACCGAACAGGACACCATTTGAACTGGAAAAAGTAGAGGAAGGCAACAAAAACGAGCAAGCAGCTGGAACAGCTTCCCTGTGAGAAGCAACTATGACAACTGGGACTGTTCGGCTTAGAATAAGGTAAGGAAAGACATGATAGAGGTGTTTCAGGCAATGCATGATGTGAAGGAAGTAGAGAGGGAGACATTTTTCTCCCTCTCCCGTAACACACAAACCTGGGGTCATCCCATGAAGCTGACTGCTGGGAGGTTTAGGACAGAACAAAGGAAGGTCTTCCCTCAAGTATAGTTCAGCTATGAAATCCACTGCCGTGGGAAATGGTGATGCCCGCCAATCTGGATGGCTTTAAAGGGGGAGTGGACAGACCCCTGAGGGAGGAGGCTATCAGTGGCTGCTAGCCTTGCTGGCCATGGGCTCCCTCCTTCACCAGAGGCGGCCTGCCTGCATGCACCAGTGGCCGAGGAGCTTGTCCAGGAGGAGGTCTTGCACCCATCCTGCTCGAGGGCTCCTGTGGGCAGCTGGTTTGCCACTGCACGTACAGAGTGCTGGACTGGACAGATCATCGGTGTGATCCAGCCTGGCTTTTCTCATGTTCTTATGAAATAGGCACTGGGACAGAGGAAGTCAGATATGTTTATGTCTCTCTCAACATCTCAGAAGTGAGCACCATCTGCAAAGAGTGAGTCTCCATCCCACAATGTGTAATATTAATAAAGAGACATATTGGGTGATCATGGTCATCTTTACATGGGTTCATGTTGAAGACTTTAACACAGGCCCCACTGTAATATTGTATCAGGTTTTTTTTTTAATGTTAAGTGTCAGATAAATGTTTTCTTAACTGAAGAATCTGGAATCGTAAGAAAAATTGTCAGAGTTCCGACCAAGTTGAATGCTAGTCAAAATGCTCAAACATCTCAAAAGTTTTTGAACTTTATATGTATTTTTTATTTTCCAAAATACAAAACTATAACCCAATGACCCTGAAGAGCCTGCCAAAGTGCCTACTAACTATTTCCAAGCGTTTGCATGGAGTTCTTGGCTTTTACTGTAAGGAATACTGTGCCTAATGGGTATCCAGGCACTGTGTGCCAGACAGAGACTGTACTTGACTCAAGAGGAAGGAAATCTAATTCTTAATCCCAAGAAATTTCAGCATAAAAACTCATTAGGAGAAGGAGGTACAAAAGTAAGTGCTACTGCTCTAGCTGAAGGGAAATAAGATTTTCACCTAATTCTACTAGCATGCACGGGAAGTCTCACTGCCTCACAATGAAGCAAGTCACACAAAAGCAGAGCTCTTTTGGCAGTATTTTACCATCATACAAAATGAATGGGATTATACAAATTTCCAAGAGTTGCCTTAAATTTCTGGGATGTAGAAAATTTTCAGATCACGTTTCTTTTATATTACAACAAAACGGAAGAGTAGCAAAACTGCTTTCCATATGTAACCCTGATAAATAGTCTCTGGGCATCTACTAGGGGAAATTTCCAGCTCTACTGTAAAAATGTAACTATAAATAAGCAAATGGAACTGAGTGACAACAGTTGATCTTTTTTTTCTCCCTTGGAAATTGAGCAGGATAATTAAGTTTCATTTTGAGTTACTAAGCAAGAAGAGGGAATATTTGCCATAGTTATTTATACTCCACTCTGTTCCAAGATGAATTACTGCCTAAATGTAGCTCATTTGGAGCTGTACCTATCAACAAGAACTAAGGACTACTGAAATATGGGAAAAATGGTTAATTGATCACAATTTTATATTTCACATTTCTTCAGGCTAGGAGTCATTACGTCCATAACAGGGCTGAGCTCTTGCATTACACTGATCTTGGAAGCTCATCCAATAAGTTGTTCACTGCAGCTCTCAAACTGTCATCCTTTTTAAAGATGGTTGGCAATATTAAATTTCTATTGCCCTATATCACATTAAATTAAGGACAACTTAAAAACAACATAGCTTTCCTATTAGTTTCCATGTAAGCAGCTGCTGCCCAAGGGTGTAAATGTAAGAACCAAAAGAAAATGAATGTCTTATGAACAACTACAAATGGAAGAAAGGATGAATGCTCACAAGTTAACACACACAACTTCAGAACTGTTGTTATTTATATGGCCTTAGTCTATACAAATGTTGAAAGGGGAGGCAGGGAGGCCAACACAATACAGAGCAAAGGATGTTTAGAACAGCAGCTTGAAGTTATTAGCTTGAATGCAAGCAAAGCCCTTCTTTCAAACAAAGCAAGGGAAGGCCTGGCTGGAGGGATGCATAGAAAAAGGCAGCAGGAACAGAACAGGTCCATGGTCAGAGGGAAAGCCAGGCATTTTAGAGAAGGGACTGGGAGCAATAACCCCCTTGCCCCCAGTTCACGGTAGAAGGGCTTGCAGTTCCACCCGCGTTGGACCACAAACTGTGAAATGCAGCGTACTGCTGATCCTAAGATGCACAAGCAGTTATTCCACCTTAATTCTCCAACCTGAAAAGCATAAATGTAGCAGGAAACAGAAGGATGGAGGATTCCTTAAATTAATGCAGATATAGACTTTGCCACGCAGCAGTGAGTAAGAACAGCCACCTGCTTTTTTGCAGATGCTACCTGCCTTTTCTCACATAGCCACGCCTCCTTAACTGCATCGGTTCTCCAAGGACTCATTTGGGAGTGTGCAAATGCAACCAAGGGAAAAGAAGAGCAGGCTGTCCAGATGGCAGTGGCTTCTGCACTGCACTGACAGAATGCGCTTCAGTCCTTATGCATAAACCCTGCTCTTCCTCTGGAAACACACAGATGCTTACGTGTCATTTCCAGGTAAGTCACATGGGAAGCTTATGAGTTCAGACCTGCTTAGCTGCAGCAGTAGAAGTAAATCATGTGCTTAAATGCCAGAGGTCTGTGCTTGTCCTATGAAAGCTTGCTCCTGTTCAAGGAGGTTTACTTTACATATACAGACCTGTCAATATGCATATGATCTAATTTATATATCACCTTCCAATTCCAGAAGAGAATGCTCAAGGTGGCTAAAACATACAAGACTGCATAAATAATTACTGTCCAGCTATTCTGCACTTTATTTATTATTTATTAAAACACTTCAAGGCAATCTTTTTTTTAACATACATAATACGCTGCAGGACTGAAATTAGAAGCCCGCCATCCACTCCTTGCAGCCCTTTCTTCAGCATTTCAGTCAGAGGCTCCCTTCTGCCTTTTCCAATTGCTTATCACTTTAGTATGGATGAGGCAGGTACCTGGTTACTTAAAGAGCAGGATAAATGGTCTCAGACAGTTCCCCCCAGCCAGAATTCACCAGGGAACGCTCAAGAATTCCACCTGACACTGGGACAGCGTTGGTGCTCTTAAACAATCTGCCGTCTGATCCGATTGTTCCCCAGTGGGGAGGCAGGCCGCAGCTCACTCAAGAGTCATTGATTGGATTAACAGCCTAATTCCCAACAGATGAATAGAATACTGATGTCTTGTCAGCCCAGATCATAGAAGGAAAACACAATCTGCTTCTACAGCTTGGAAATTTAACCCTTTTGCTTCCCCTTGAAATGGGGCCTGGGCCTGGGCCGAGGAGCCCTGTATTTTCAAATTTCGTATGTTATCTATTTGAGATCCATTATGACCCATGCAATCATATATTATATTAACAAGCATATAGGAGCTTTTGCTTCTCTTTGCTGACTTCAAATTTAAGTTTTTTATTTTTAAAGAAAGAAAAACTAGCAAGGGGAATCATTTTGTCTGCTCAACCCTTTGGGTGAGTCTAAGCAGCTCTCAGAATCCCAGCTGTTGTTATTCTTGTTTATCCTTACAACCACCCTGTGGTAGTTTAAGCTGAGAGACGGGGATGGCCTGAGCTCTATGGATTTGAATCCAGGTCTCTCCAGGCCAAGTCTAACATTTTAACAGCTACATCACCCTGGCTCTTGGAGCTAGTACAGGACTGAAACTTTAAAATCGGCAGGGGGTGGGGAAGTAAGCCCGATTAACATTAGAGAAATGGGGGTGAATTGGATTTAAGTATTCTGCATTGGTATAAAGAACTGGCAGGGTTTTGTGCATGATATATAAACCCAACACCACCTAATTTATAGAAAATGCATAGGTTAAATTATGGTAAATATTAAGGTATGGCCAAACATGCACTCATTCTCATTTCATATTTGTTGTCCAAAAACATTTCTGGACGTCAATCATCAGGATTACTGGCATAATCAGGAGAACAGGCTCTATATATGTGTGGGTCGCAAAGAACACAAGGAAGCAGCTAACAGATATAGGAATGTACAACAGTGTAATACATTTTTACTCAGAAGTAAGCCTTGTTTGATTCAACGGAACTTCTTCTCAGGCGAGCACAGGTTTGCAGCCTTAGCTGGTACATTTTGTGCAGCCAGTATAATATTTTATATTGCAATAAACCAGTCAAGTTTAGAGCCTGTATCTGGTCAGCCCTAAACCTGAGCTTGACAACACTTAACAGCCAGTGGGGGGAGATTTCAGAAGAATGAGGCAGAAAAAAGGGCTTCTTTTTCCTTCTCCTGAAATCCCCCTCTTGCACACAAAGGCCTAACAGTGCTCCTGGCTGGTGGTTAAGCAGAAACACTCCCGTTAGGGGTCAGGGGCCTGAGGCAAGGTTTTGTTGGTAGTCCCCACGTGTTTCCTTTCCTGCCAGTCTTAGCTACTCCCATGCCCCTCAGTTTC